GGGGGGGGGGGGAGTCGAACGGGCTCGGGCGAGCATCGAGGAGTTTCCACATATCGAATACTACTGTTACTCGACACACTCTTAATACTCCGGTCAACTACATTGCACTACCACGCCACAGGAAGACCCTACCCCGTCTCTCATCCTCGCCGTGCGTGTTTTTTCTCAACGGGGATGATGAAACTACAGCAGTGGTCCACATTCTCGAAAGAGACAAAGAAAACAAAACAAGGTCACAACAAAGAACCACGGCAGCAGTGCCTCCCCCGGCCTTGCTGCATCCGCGTTCGACCTTCACAACGACCCGGGTTGGAATTACTGGAGTATATTGGGTATTCTCGCCGTCGCCCTTGACATCACTTCAAAACGTGTATTTTCTGTTCTTTTCTCCTTTGCTCCTCACCGAGCTCCTTGTCCCCTCGCCCCGCTGCCTTTCGGAGGTGTCGTCCGAACGTGATGGCCGGGGCCGCAACACTCCCGTATACGAGCGCAAAACCGTCCACGTCGACGCTGTCCCCCCCCCCGCCCGGCCCATGGTCGGCATCGTCGGAGTCGGTGTAGGAGTGCCATCGGTCTTCCACGAGGCGTTGGAACAGGGCATCATCGAGCCTGAGATTGAGGCTTAATGCGGGACAGAAAACAGCGCCGAGGACAGCGGTTGGTAGCGCGCAGCCGAGGTGTGCCACGAGGTTTTTGTGGGACAACTTTGTGGGAAGGCAATGCATGCCGGTGTAACCGACGTTGACGAGCGACAAAACTTGTGCGCCATTCGGGGTTGATCGCGCGCGCAGTACACAAGGTTTTCTGACAGAGGAGAGGGGGCACAAAGTGATTATATTTGAGCAAGAGACTGCCGACGGCATGGCGGACTCTTTGTTTTTGTGCAGATGCACAGCGACAACAACATGTCGACACACGCCCCCCCGGCAATAAACGAAGAGCGCGTTTCTTCGATCAAAGGGAAGGGACAGAAAAAGGGGTCCGCCGGCGGGAAGTGCGCACGCATGGCAAAAGGCAAAAGGCATGCACGCGAGGAGAGCAGACTACATATGTTATCTTCGTTACCCACAGACCCATTGTCACCCCTCGCTGCCTCGGACAAGAGAAGCAGCAGCAAACCGAGGCCCGGACATCGCATCGCGTCCATGCCTATGTACGCCTACGACTTTCTCAGCAGCATGGTTTGTGAAAAAGAGGGAAATCGCCCTCGACAGACGTCGGGGAGACTTGCTGTATCCTACGAAGAGTTGTTCGCGAAGGAATTGTTTTGTGCATCACAAGACGAATACTTGCGATGTCTCATCACCGTACATACACTCACCTAAGAAGAGCACGCTTTACCGCCTGCGGTCCGAGCCGTGGCGCCCCTTCTGCCTCGGCCCTGAAGGCCGCCCTGGCCGCTTCGTATTGGTCATCGCTGAGCTCCACCTGCCCGCACGCACCAGCACGAAAAATATCGGTCGCTCTAAGGATTTCGGCCAGAGAGAACGGCAAGAGCCGTGAAGACGGCTGCTTGCTGCGAGCAGTGCGCACTGGCGCAACCCACGGCTACCAAACCCTCCCATGGGAAGTGCTCAAAGCAAGTCTTCTTTGAAGCGCACAGGGAACCACACCCGAACAACAATCGATAATTGACAGATTGATCTAGTTGAGATTGGAAAGGTGGCAGGTCTGCGTAACCTTGGGTATTCAAAGCACTCACGGGGGGGGGTGTTGTTTTGCATCATCAGCCCGCCAGAGACATCTTTTGTCTGTCATTTGTTGGGTCAAAATAATAGCCCATTTTCATCACCATAGCCCTACTTAAGCGCTCAGTTGGACAAGAGAGAGGGCATCGACAGCAGAGCTGATTGCGCTCGTCTCTCTCGCACCTTCTCACAGGCCAGCAGGCCATCCTCCAGCACCGTGCCTGAATGCTTCGAGATTATCCGTTTCGGCTCAGGACGCTCGTAGCTTCGGCTCACAGGAATCCTCGGGCGAGCTGCGTTTCGCGACGAAGGCCGAGACATCTGTACGGTTTTCCAGAGAGATTATTGAGTCAAGTAAAATCGATGCCAGCGATCAAGACCAACAGCAGTGCCTACGAGCTACCGCTTGTCGAGCGCGATCGATGCTTGCGGGAGGATTAGATGTACCGCATACGATCTCCGTCGTAGATACTGCACAAGATGTTGAAGAACGTTTTTTTTCGTTTTCCCGATTTTGCATGCAGATCGTGTGCACCAGCAACCCGTGTGGCATACCCCCGTGTCGCACCCAACCGACGAGTGCGGGGGAACAGCGGAAGCAACCGGATCCGTATCGAACTCGAGCGGTTGAGGAAGGACAAACACCTACGGGTCGCCTTCCAAAACAGGGCCTCCAGCCGCCCTCCGCCCACGGCGCTCAGGCGGCCAACGGTAGAGACCGCCGCCGAGCTGACGGCTACGGTGATGTCGGCCGCTGCTGAGACCGCGCCGCTGGCGAGGTGCGCAGGAGGGCAGAGAGGCTGGTACACGAGCGAAGCGCAGCACGATCTCCGAAGCGTCTAAGGAGATTGAGACGGCCCAGCAGCAACTGCGTGGGGCCTCAAACAACAGCGCCTTCGAGGCGACCCTGAAGGCGATGCTCAAGGCGGCGCGGAAGAAGCGCAGCATCGCGAGGTGGAGAGCACTGGAAACGTTCTTCGAGGGCTATGTACGGCAGCTCGAGAAGAAGAGCCGCGAGGGGGATCAGGCGGGTTTCTACA